AAATAATGGATCCTTATTTACAGGGTAAGATCAACCTTCCAAGTCTGTTAAAATTTGGTGAAGTAGCTATGAGTTGTTTGGCTACCGAGGGGATTAAAAGGCCGGCTATGAGTGAAGTGGTGTGCGGGCTTGAGCTTGCATTGCAGCTGCAGGAGAGTGGAATTAATGGAAACGATGAGAATCATGTGAATGACTCAACAGTCATTGATTATCATGTGTTGTTTACTAGTGGTAGTGGATCATTGAATGTTGGTCGCTAGAATAGATGCTTTAATTTTTTGCCCATTGTAATCTTAATTCCATCTTTTTATGAACATTAATAATAACTGAAGTGCAGATAAAGTTTGACATTATTTTTGTTGATGCAAAGTCGTTATAATCTAAAATAGAAGAAAAAATTATAAGCATTAAGAATTAAATTTTAAATATATTTTAAGTAAATTTTTAAAAGTAATAATATGAATCAAATGAGTTAAATTTTAAATTAATAATTTACTATTATGACTTATTATTGAATGGATTTTTATTTAATTTTTGGATGTATCAAAAGACTTACCTTCCTAATTTGCACTAAAAAAAAATTACCACACTTTGGATTGTATTAGAGATACTCTTCTTCTATGTTCCCTATATCTCACACTTCAAGATTCAAGTTCTAATTTTAAGTATCTCAATAAAAATGAATCTACTCAATAAATCATGAAAACATATATAACTCAAATATTTTCAAGAAGATTTAAAATTGTATTATTTTAGCTAAATATCTATTACCAAATCTTTCTCACCATTCGATAACTTTGTATTTTATTTTTTTTTATAAATTTTGATAATTTTAAATATAAAAAATATGAATTTTTATATATAAAACACCTAACTTTATTGGTAATTAAAGATCTCAAACTCTTGAGTGATTAGCGAATTACTAGATCATTGACTAACTATAATTTGATTTCTAAAATTATAGTTAACACAATAGGGTTGGGCTGTCTATTTCTAAAATTAGTTTCCTTGTATTCAATTATGATTAAAACTTAAGAGGATTTGGGTGGAATTACCCTATAATCACAGCATACCGGTAATCATATGTGCTTAAGTTGTACGGGCAAGGGGAGGTTAACTGTGCTACTTACAGGCTATGACCATCAATCATACTGATCCTTTTCGAAAACTATTGCATAAGTTTCTAAGATTCACTGTGATACCTACAGGCTACAACCATCAATCAAATTGATCGTTTTTGAAGAATATTGTATAAGTTTCTAAAAGATTCCAATTTCCAAAGAAGAGAGTTCAAAACCATCGAGTCGACCCTACATTATCACATGCTTTCCTGTGTTAGAGCCCGACAGTGAGGTCACCGTACACCATGAGCACATGGCCATTACGTTCATCATCTCATTAATATAAACCTTGGTCAGTCTGCTATAAGGATAAATCAAATTATAGTTAGTCAACGATCTAGTAATTTACTAATCACGCATGTAGACACTTCAATTCGTTCGAAACTTTTAATAGAAGGATCAAGATATTTAATATTTTTTATTTGAATTTTGTCTAGACTATTGGACTTTGGAGATGTTTGTTGGGAACAATTGGGCTTTGAATTTGTGTGAGCTTTAAGCCAGTTTTCTTTAGTTTTTCCTGTTTATATTTGGGAGCCCAGCAGATAATTCTTTTGTTTTTAATAGTTTTCGCTTTTTTTTTTCTATTTTATTTTTAATAAAAATTAAATAATAAATAAATAAAAGGGAAAGAAAATCAAGATTTTTTTATTCTATTAAGGGATTCAATCCTAGAAATCGAGTTAAATAAAAAATGAAATTAAATCTAAAAAAATTATTGACTGAAATCAAAGCAAAATTTTAAAAGCAAAAAATTCAAGCCATGAACGGATTCTAATCTATGCCATTCAATAAAAATTCTTAAAATTTCTAATAAAAAACCCTATATAAATCCTCTTCTAACACATAGAAAATACACTAATAGAATAGGTAAAAATCATAAAAAAAAAAATCACACAGTTTAAAGAAAGTATTGTTTTGGTAGTAAGGTTTTTTATTTTTGAAGAATTTTAAGAAATTTGAGAAATTATAAGGGTATAATTCGGTCAAGGTATAATCTAGGAGGCAAATAAGTTGATTGGTTGTTTTTTTTTTTTTTTGGGGGGGGGGGGGGGAATTTTCTACCTTTTTCTAGAATTTTTTAGGAAATTCTAGAAATTAGATGAATTTTTTAATTTCTCAGTTGAATTTATCGGCTAAAATTAAAGTTTTCAACTAGATTTTGATGAGTTTTTCCAAAATTTGGCAAGTCCCCATATTTTGACTACCGATGTTCATATTTTTCTAGAGAGAGAAGTAAAGAGAAAATGAATTAGAGAGAGAGTGTAAGGAAATCTAAGACAAAAAACAAAAATTTTTTTCTTTTATACTGATGCTAAACAATATCATTTCAGATCTAGGATTCATCAGGATCTGCGTGTTTCCTATTCTCAAATCTGATCTGTTGCATTACCTAGTTTACAACTTGATTCTAGTAGCCCCCTTCAAGCCAAACTGAGTGGTCTCAGCTAAGTCGTTTCAGCTGGTTTTCGTGCTTGAAGCCAAGCCCTGCCTCCAAGCCATAAGCCAAACTGAATTCTAGTACTTTTTTTATTTTATTCATTTATTTCTATTAAATTATTTCTTTATTTATTATATTTTTATTTATTTGTTTAATTGTTTATTTATTTATTTATATTTGTAAATACATATATTTTTTATGAAAATATTTTTTAAAATAAAAAGAGCCTTACCAACATATTGGAGGGCTAATAATTTTATTTTAAAAAATAAGGTTTTATCGCTATATTGGAAACCTTACCAACATATTAGAAGGCTCATGATTTTAAAACTAAGGTTTTACCAACATATTGAATAACCTTATAATTTTTAATAAAAATCCAATTTGAAAAAGAAAAAAAAAGCTTTTCATAAAATCCTATCAATGTATTAAAAGATAATTTTTTATAGAAAACTGACCAACATATTGGAAGATATTTCTAAAAATAAATCATTTTTATAGAAATTTATTACTAGAAATAAAATTAAATGAATTTGTTGATGGAGCCTTTTCAAAGCATAACAAATAGTCTTCTTGAATACTCTTGAAGTGAAAAAATATTCTTAAATTATTACCAACATATTTGAGTAATTTAAGAAAAACTTTTCAATATTAAATTATTTGGTAAATTATAAATAAGGTTTGAATAACTTAAAATCAAATTGCTATCATCATTTGGATGGATACTGTAAGGGTGTTTTAACCTTCCTCATGCATAACCACACTCCCAAACCTAAAATCTGACTTTGTGGACTAGAATCTAACATTTAAAGATACCTAAGTCAAACTTGAAACTTTTCTTTAAAATAGGGTAAATTCAGTTAGGTGGTTAATAACACCTAAATAAAAAGGATTGAAGATGACTTTTAAATCTATGTCAATAAATAGATTAACGGATTTATACGTTATGATAGTTTTACAACTCTACTGAAGACATTGAGAGTCCAGCTAGTAAATATTTCTTGATATCCAAGTCTAACTTAATAAATTTAAAAATTCTTTTTTATTTTTCTCATTATTTGTATTTATTTATTTATTTATTTATCATAACGTATAAAATGAGCTCTACACCTTAGTTTTATCCCTTATGAAGGAGTGAAGTACCTATGCCTTCATGAGATTTCATGTCTCCGTATAAGTTAGTGAAACATTCCCACTCAAATAGAACCATTTTTGCTTGTAGTCTATAATGGGTGAGGATTGGGATGCCTTACTAGTCTATTATAGACAATGATGTGAGGAACAATTTCGAAACTTTTAGAAATAACTTAAATCACATATGGTTAACCTTATGAGTTTAACCTATACGTAGAGCCATATTCCCTTTAACTTTTGGAATTGACCTTGAGTTGGTATCATGTTGTTATCATATTTTATTTGCTTTGCTAATACGCTTATTTTTTTTTATATTGAAATAATTAACCAATTTCTTTATTTTTGTTCTTGTCTTGCATATTCATAAAACATCCATACAGATTGCTTAGCATACTTGCCCCAAAGATATTTTCAATTAAAACTTTCATAGAATTCACTGAACGTCAGTTTGTGCCTTATCTATGTTCTTCGAGTGTGAGTCACCCAATGATTTGAAGGTATAATTAAAAAAAAAAAACAATAAGAAAAAGGGGATTGTCTACCATTTGGCTATGTCTCTACGTTGCCTAAAGAAGTTCATTTGATCTTCAAACAAAATGATTTGAAGTACTTGTCAGATATATGAAAAAATATAAGTCAGTTAGCCTTCTTCAAAAAATATGGCCATAATACGCATTTTCTTTTAATGGTAGTTGAAAATTCTCTCATTAAAGTAGTTGTGCAATTCTGGGATCCTTCATATAGATGTTTCATCTTCAATGAGGTTAACATGGCACTGACTATAAAAGGAATATTCTACATCTATGGGTTTGCATCTTCAACCACTAGATAAAATATATGTCAAAAGGTAGAAACTAGCATTTTGCAAGAAACTATCCGATCTCATGAAAGTAAAAAAAAAAGATGTGAATGTACAAGTTCAAGAAAGAAATGATCATATCTGTTTGCCTTAGGAATTTTTCTATGATTTCATCATAAAGTACCTGAATGATAACCAAATGTTAGATATATTTGCTTTGACTATATATGGCATGTTGGTCTTTCCCAGAATCTTAGGTCATATTGAGATAGAAGTGATCGACTTTCTTTTGGCATTTGAAAAAAGCTTAAAACCCTTTACCTACAATCTTAGCTGAGACAATTAAAGCCCTGAACCATTATTATTAGAAAGGGAAAATAGGCTTTGTTAGATGTGTGCCATTGCTCTATTTGTGGATGAAAAGTCATTTTGAGTGTAAGAAGAATGCATTTTTGAAACTTTACTTTTGTAATCAAGCTCCAATTAAAGAGTTTTACAAGAGTAAATGGCCAAAATTCAAGTCAAAGGAGGAATGGATAGTTTTATTCATGGAACCTTGAGAGATCACCTCTACAACACGAATAATCCCCCATTACAATGGGAAAAAAGGCTCAAAATGTGTATTGCTGCTGCACATGGGCTACATTATCTTCATAGAGGTCCCAACCACATCAGCATTCACAGAGACGTGAAGACCACAAATATTTTGTTAAGTGAGAAATGGGTGGCCAAAATATCTGATTTTGGATTGTCTAAACTGAACAACCTGTCCAACACGCATATCAGCACTGCTGTCAAGGGCAGCTTTGGCTACTTGGATCCTGAATACTTCCGTCTTCAACAACTGACAGAGAAATCAGATGTGTACTCTTTTGGCGTGGTGTTGTGCGAAGTATTATGTGCTAGCACCAATAGATCGAACTGTGGATCATTTGCAGATAAGTTTAGTAGAGTGCGTACAACATTGCTACAACAATGGAACCCTCTATCAGATAATAGATCCTTATTTACAGGGTAAGATCAGCCTTCCAAGTCTGTTAAAATTTGGTGAAGTAGCTACAAGTTGTTTGGCTTCCGAGGGGATTAAAAGGCCGGTAATGAGTGAAGTAGTGTGCGGACTTGAGCTTGCAATGCAGCTGCAGGAGAGTGGAATTAATGGAAACGATGAGAATCATGTAAATGACTCAACAGCCATTGATTATCATGTGTTGTTTACTAGTGGTAGTGGATCATTGAATGTTGGTCGCTAGAATAGATGCTTTAATTTTTTTGCCAATGTAATCTTAATTCCAGCCTTTTATGAACATTAATAATAACTGAAATGCAGATAATATTGAAGTTTAATATTTTTTTTGTTGGTGCAAAGATGTTGTAATCTAAAACAAAAGAAAGAGTTGTAAATATTAAAATTTGAATTTTAAATATATTTTTTTATAAATTTTTAAAAGTGATTACATAGATTAGATGAGCTAAATTTTGATTAGATGAGCTAAATTTTGAACTAATAGTTTACTTTTATAACTTATTATTGAATAGATTAATTTTTGAATGCATCTTAAGACTTACCTTCCTAATTTGCACTAAAAAAAATAAAAAACTTACCGCACTTTGGATTGCATTAAAGATATTCTCCTTCTATATTCCCTATACCTTACACTTCACTTTTAAGATTCAAGTTCTAATTTTAAGTATTTCAATAAAAATAAATTTGCTCGATAAATTATTAAAATATATATAGCTTCAAATATTTTCAAGAAGATTTAAAATTTTATTATTTTTGCTAAATATCTATTAACATTTTTTTCTCACCATTCCATAATTTTTGTATTTTATTTTTTGTATAGATATAATTTACAGTTGAATCTTTTCATATTATTAATCTATACGTCAAATTATATCTATACAATAATTATATCTATACAAAAAATTAATCTATTCAATATTATTAATCTATACGTCAAATTAACTTGTCACTTGATTTTTAAAAAACATTATTTCAATATTTTTAACCAAGAACTTCATAAATTTCTTTTAAGGAACTAAGCTTAAAGTATTGTCTTGCAAACTTAACTAATATATATTGACAAGATAAGATATAATTTTCTTAAAGGAGAAAAAAAAGCCGAAAAATTGAGTTGTTTTTCGCAGAATATATATCAGTTAAAGACTTTTCCAAGTCTCCGTTTGTCGACGTCCGTGGACGAGTCTTACAGAAAAGTCATGATGGGGCCCCATGGAAAATTTTCTTTGGAAAATGATACGGTTTGCTGTGGGCTCAACACTAGTGTCATATCCCCACTAAAAGTTAGTTTTTAATATTAAAATATTAATTGTTATTCTGTCAAAGCACATTTCTTTTTTTTCTTTTTTCTTTTTTAATTTTGATGTGTAAAAGTGTTTCTTATCATTATTTTTATGCAATTTTAATTTTTTAATGTAACGAGAATATTTTCAACGAATATAATTTTTATTTATATGTATAAAAAAGAATATTATGACATAAATTAAATACTTATTGAAATTGAATCATAAATTAATTTAATTGATTTAAGTAATATTCTTAAAAAAATAACATTTAACAATGTAAAATTTAAATATCTAACATCTACAATTTTTTTATTTTAAATTGCAAACTTTTTTATTAAAAAATAATTATTGAAACCTCACTTTACTTTTACAATTTGATGATTATCCTTCTTAATATATATACATATATATATATGACATACTATTGCAAATTACATGTCATTTATCTCATAGTTTTGAATATTTGGGCAAATTGAAGAAAAACCAAAGTAATGCTAATGTATCCAATCATAAATTTAGTTCAGTGATTAGAATATATATGATTTATTTCTAAAAATAAAGTTTGATTTTTTTAATTAAAAAAAACTTATATTGATGTTTTTAAAAGGCAAACATATAAAATTACAAAGATAACAAAAAATAAGCGATCATTATTACATTACTTGAGCTTTCATACTTGTCTCCTATTAGAATTAAATTTATCAACCTACTTTATTAAATTATAAAATTACTAATTAATAATAGTCCATTTATTAAAAAATTCTAACATTCTCTCACTTTGACAATATTAATTGAGATATTTGATTTTGATAAAATATAATTTAAAAAATAAGATTCCAAATTGATTAACTTTATTTTGATGTGATCATAGTTCTAAAAAATTATTTAATCCTTGAGACAATATCTTAATGATCATGTTCAATAAATCATCTAATACCAAATCATGGTAGCCATTATGTCCCATATTAATATAAGATCGATCCATGGTTACAAGGACTAGAAACTCTATCAAGAATGGAATTCAGTGTGGTTGTATAGCAAGAAAATAATATCTAAATATGATTTTAATGTGTTATTATCATTATCAATTCTCTTCCCAATTTTTTCAAACTTGCTAAGAAATCTCCATGGCATTCAAATGTGCTTGTATATCTCCTCCATATCCTTGAGGTTACTTGTTGATGTAATTTATGGAACATACCTAAATTTTATTAAAATCATATTTAAGACAGATACCAAGTTTTAAGATTTTATAATATGACATATTAATATGAGATTTGCATATGCAATATAAACATATATACAAATAACAACTATGATGTATATATAAAATAATTATGTCCATTTAACTTTGTGATACCTCATGACTTATTCATTTTAAACCAGTGATAGATCTTGACATCTGATCTTGAAGGGGCCAATTAAAATTATATATTTTTTCATTTGTTATGTTATTCAAATTTGAGAGTTAATGTCAAATATAGTATGTGTTTAACAAGAATATACTAATTTTTTCTAATTTTTTTCTTTATGTTTAGATTGTCCAATCTCTATATTTATATTTGTTACATATATATCAAATACAAATGCTTCTCAAAAAAGAAATTTCGATCAGTTAACATAATTTATTTGAAGTTTTATCAAACCAAAAAGAAAAAAAAAGAAAAAGATCACAAAGATATTAGAAGATAAGTGTTGGCTAAAAAAAAAAAAAAAACCCTTTGGTGTTTGGTTGAAAAGTTGTAATCTTGTTAAGAAATCTAGAAAGTTAATTTGTTTTTTTTTTAATTTACTTGAATGTTATTTAATGTTTATTGCAAATCTATTATTTTTAAGAGTTCATGAATAATGATTGCGGATATAATAAATAGACAAATAATATTGCGATTTAATTCTTCATAAATTAGAATTGTTAAACTTAAATTAAAAATTAAAAATAAAATTAACAAATAATAATTTTAATATGAGAACTAATTAAATTAAATTTAAATATATAAAATAATTATAGTATATATATATATAATATAATCCTCCTATATATTATAGGGTTGAGGAGTATTAGAAAAAATTGATCATGCAATTGTCTTTCAATATCTGTACATATAAAGAAGCACATCGTGCTATCATATGAAAGAGTGAGAAATGTTAGGGCCAGTTTCTTTCTCTTTTTCCTTTTCTATAAAAAAATAGATTATGAAGTTTCAAAAAATTAAGAAAAAAATTTATTACCTAGTTTTATAAATTGTTAGTTTTTTAAGTTATTATGACTAGACTCGTTAATAGAATAAATTTTTAAGTAGCTTTCATTTGACTATCTCTAGCATTAGTATCAAAAGAATTTGAGGGGGGGTAAGGCCCCTTCAAGCTTCAATGAGGCTTCACCTTTATCTCAAACTATTTTTTATAGGTAATTAAGAATTACATGTGATGCATTTAACAAAGTAAAAAAACCCAAAACAGTAATGGTTTCATAATCAATTTTACAATGCATCATTGTTATAATCAACCATAATCTTACAAGTTCTATTTTTCATACTATAGATATATGTATTATGAATTAGCAATACCATATTCCTCACATAGAGAAAATATGTCATCATATAATCAAATTACAATAACTCCCACTAATCCAGTGAATCATAATCATGTTCTAATTAAATTTTGAATAATAAATAATGACAATAACAATAAATAGAGTCATAGAAAAATTATGTATCGTTTGCCCTTATGACAAATGTGATAATTACTACCATTCTTAGATTACCATGATATCACTTTAATAAACCACTTACATAATTACTAACATATTATGAACACAATTTTCAAATTCATATGTTCACACAACTCAAAATTCTCAATGTTTTAACATAAGATTATTTTCAATAACTTTGGAATTAATTGAATTACCAATCTTTTATATCTAAAATGTGCCTAAACCAATAGCCTATGAACTCCTATTGACCTTAACAAATATAATATCTCCAAACCAGTAACTTTAGGGCGTTTATGAGTTTTATTACTTTAAAAAATATATGCAAAAGGACTTTCACTAAAATTTCACTTTCTTTAAAAGAATAGTTTTGGAATTAATAAAATAATAATAAAAATGCCAAAACCTTTATATTAGACTTTCTTGTAACTTTTAAGATTGAACTCAATATATGATTCAAAACAAGAGAAGTGAAATGAGATAAAACAATAAAGGTTTTGTTCTTTATAAAAAATAAACCAACAAAATTCAGGAAAAATTAATAAAGAATGAATTAAGCCAATAAAAGGAAAAACTAATAGTTTACGTATTTGCAAAAATTCATTTTTCAAAACTCTCACATGTGTGAATTCCTTAATAGAAAATATATAATTTTCTTTAAAACACATTGTTAATGATGACAACAATATACCTTTTAAAATTAATAACTACTAAATTTGATAATATTAGCTAAGATGATTAAACCAATATCTTAATTGAGAGTTATACAAACGAAATAATATTTGTCAAAATGAAATTATATTTTAAAACTCTCGATTTTACTTAAAATAAATTAAGATATCATAATAGGTCTAAAACTATCTTGTGTAGGAGCTAATCATTTTGGCTATAATAAGACACTATATAGCAAATGTACATTTTCAAATGTGATAAATTAAAGTGATTACCACTTGTCATGGGTTGAGACTTAAACTCCAGGCTCGTGTAGCTCCAGGACATGGGAATGGACTCTTTCGCATCCCAAATTAGCCTAACATAAGAAATGGTGCACGGACACACTAGACTGCAGAACTTAACCGCCTAATACTTTGTAAAACAAAAGGGCATAGAAAATGCCTAAAGAAAGGCTAACAAAATAACAACAAAAAGGTTTAAGGCAAGAGTAAATATGTTATTACTTATGGTTCTGGTATCTTCCTTAGCCATGCCACAGCTAAAACACATAAATTGTTA